CTAGCCAGGGCAACAAAGTGAGACTCTGTCTCAAAAAAAAAAAAAAAATGGTAATGTGTATTAACACTATCTCAACAATCCCCAAACACAGCATTAATGATGCTCGAATGATAAAGGGCCTTCCAGTTGTTCCTGGACATTATATCACCAGGCAAAGTTCACTGTGGTTATGCATAGAGATTTCTAGATTTCTATTTCTGCCCTACCAGAATTATTACATTTTGCATGTATGTAACTGGCCAATTTCATTATCAGTTTTTCAACCCCCATTGATGTTACATTTTACATAAAGAGTACCAGGAATGAACAGGAAACTATAAATTACTTGAATTTTCTCTGTATTGCAAAGACCACACGTCCACTAATCAGATTTACCTAGAAATTATAACCATAAAGAATTTCTAAAGATGGAGACATTTTTAGAATGAGTCAATGGTTCACTCTTGAAATTTTGAAGTTGAATAAAATGCATAAGCACTTTATTCTAATAGCATGTGGAAAACAGTTTAAAATGACCAGAAGCTTGCCACAATTAGTAAAGTGGTGAGAAAGTGGCTTGATATGGGTTGGCAATTAAGATACAAACAGTATCTGAGGCAAGAATGGAGGTCTCATATATTTCCTGTGTTTTGTTCCATTTCAGGAAGAAAGAGAGTTTCTATTTATCTCTGTGAAATGATGACAACAGCTGATTAACATAAGGAGGAATTTATTAATTTATACAATATCCCTTTAGTGAATAAACAGTTTGGAATAAGTCGCTGGTCTCATGCAGGATTTCATATTGGATAGCCAAAATAATGTCACTTCCTAAACACCACATGCTTTTTTATCACTTAAGAAATGTTTTATATGTACCAACGGGAGATTTTATGTGAAGGGTAATCTGATTATTTCTTAATTTAGATCAGCATTTACATTAGCCAATCTCCTAAAATCTCAGTCTCAGCCTTTTATTTCATAGGTCTGTGGAGAAGAGAAAGGGAACCACGCACTTGGCCCAGCTCAGGTCCCTGCAGCAGACATGGAGAAAAAAAGTCTTTGCTGTTTTATTTTTAAAGCTAACTGGTTGGAATTAAGAGACAACGTGGTCCAAAAATTTTTAACATCCTCACAAGCCTCTTATGAAATCTTAGATTAATCTTCTCATATGTTACTCCTGAAATGAGTACTTTCTCTTTGATAGTATTGTGGTTAAGTGCATAGGCTCTGTGCTTAAACTGCCTAGCTTTGAAGCCAGTTCCATCACCCACTAGCTGTGAGACCCAGGGTACGTTATTCGCCTCAGCTGTACAACGAGGATCATAATACTATCTATTTTCTAGGTTGTTGTGAAGATAATGGATTAATGTAAAAATTAGCTCTCAAAAGTGTTAGCCATTTTGGTGTTGATAGTAATGATATATGAGGTTGAACTTGACTTCATTTCAGGGCACTGGGCATTTTTTTTTTTAAACATTTTTATAGTTTTACTTCACAAACGTTGGAAGTCCTAGCCTGGTACCCTCGGAGGAAGCAGTAATTCCAATGTGCCCCCATCTCGGGACAATGTCTGACATTAGTAGTTCCAGGTTTCCTAAATCCCCCTTCCCCTCTTATTCCCACTACTGGAGTGCTGTGGAATAGGCTGGTGTCTCACTGGGTACAGCTGTGAACTCCCCTCCTGGCTGGCCAGTGGTTTGGTCCATTTTTGAGGGACATAGAAAGCAGCTGTTATTTGAGGAATGGGCAGAGATAGGGTGGATCACTACTACTATCTGGGACACAAACAAAAAATTAGTTGGGATATCTCATTAATAATTATTTTACATGGATAACATCTGAATTGATAATATTTTTGCATATACTCATTTAAATAAAATATATAATTACAATTAATTTTATCAGTTTCCTTTTACTGTTTGTTATGTGGCTACTAGAAAACTTAAAATTCTATGTGTGGCTTGCATTTGTGGCTCACATTGCATTTCTATTGGACTGTGTGCACTCTGTTAGAGAAATAGGAGAATTTCTGAAGGCAACACCATAAGCCTTTGCCTTGTCTAACTGAGCCCCCTGTTAGGATGTGTGGAAACGATTCCTTCCTCACGTGGGAGACAGGTGTAGGTCACTTGTGACACAATTTTAGTGTAGGCCAAGTAGATTAAAAGGACTTGGGGGAAAAAGCACCCCCTACACACACCAGGGCACATGCCAAGCATTCTGAAATAGCAGAATATATGAATCAAACAGTACCCATCAGTTTTGAATTGTCAGACAAGCCCCTCAATAAATTACTTAAATCGGGATAGTGCAGCACTTCATAAAATTTAAAGTACTATGTAAATGAAAGATACTAACCATTATTACCAATGATATATTGACAAAATAAAATGAGTCAATGTAAATTTCCTAATTAAGAGATGACTTGATACTTTAATTCTGTTTTATGCCTAGTGGATTATCTATAATTCATCTGGATATGGTGTCATGGTAGTCCCCAGGCAAGAAATCAGCGTGGCCAGCTTTCCTATTATGTTCATACTATGATTTTCTCCTGCTCTTTGGGAATCTTTGCCACGAATATATGCAGAAACAAACCTAGAATATATTTGTTGATAGTGTCAGCTGATACTGTCAATGCTAAGGGGTGATTTGGGGGAGCTCAAGCCCCTTCATAATCTTCATCTGCCCTCCCTGCCCAGCCACAGACAGGAAATCGAAATAAAAATACAACTTCAAAGCAGACCTTCTACTCCCTCACCCCTTCTAACCAGACTTCTGTCTCTAATCCCCTTCCATATGGCAACTCTGGAGCCGCCCATAGTCTAATATTAAATGAGGGAGGGAAAAGAATGTATGTGTATGTACCCATATATTATATGTGTGTGTACACACACACACAGACACACACACACACAGATTTAAAAAGCAATAGGTGACAATGATGGAGTTCTCATGACAAAAGGTAAATTTACATGAAAATAGGGGAAATCTGTTGGAAAGCACTGCTTTATTTTAAAACATACAGTTTATGCAGTGGGTCAGTCATGGTCAAAAGGGAGAACATTTTTCCTCTTGCTTGCCTGTGTAAATGGTGGAGACAAGGGAATAGCAACCCGTTTCACAAGTGTGTGGTCACCCCTGAGACCACTCCCAAGTGATTTAAGTAGCTGGAGGTGGGGGATATTATTTTTATATGCTCACAAATGACAGATAAAACTCCAAGAACTGACATCCTAATTCCCACCATCCTAATTAGGCACTCCCTAATTCAGGAATGGTTCCTGTCCCCTAAGTTGAATTCTAAGTTGTTTAGTGGACACTGAAATGCTTTCTTTCATAGATATATGCTCTACATCCTAGTCCTGACCTCCAAAAGCTGATTTTGCCCCTAACATAATTGAAAGCTTCCACCAATAAATAAAAGAAAAGCGTAGAAGTCATGTTGGTTTCTACATCACAGCATTTCTGTTGCACAAACTCCCCTGTTCAGGGTGGAATGGGAGACGCAGCCTCGCACAGTCCTACTTCATTTTATAAGAGGATGCCTTTGGCCTTTGACATACTCCATCTCATTCCCTCCCAAAGTGTAACTTACTAATTCAGAACAGCTACTGCCCTGACAGAGGATGTGGTAAAAGTATGAGGACCAGAGAGAAGAGAACATAGCTAAGAAAGGGGATTAATTGGGGTGGGGAGGAGGAAATCATATCCAGGCTCTTGGGGCCCTGTGTCCTTTCCCATCCGTGAGGATGAGCAGATGAAGATAATCAGGAGCAGGAGGTAGGAGAGAGTTATTTTCTCTCCAGGTTCTACAGGTCGGACCTGCTAATATTAGGCACTGTCCCTCTGTTTCTTTTCCCCAAGATTGTGGCAGGTGAAACTGCTACTGTTAACTGCTTCGACCCTGCAGGGTCAGCCCTGTTCTTCTAAAGATTAGGAGGTGGAGTTGCTACGCTCTCACATTCCCAATTACTAGCCTACTGTAAGAGCCAGCACATTCTCAGACATATTCAAGGACCTGCTAAAACATTACACTATAAGAGGCTTGAACTCACAGCATCATAGAAGTAACTGCTGACGTTGCCCCAAACCAGGGCAGCCCTTATGCCAGAACCTGGGCTCCTGTCCTTCAGCTCCCCAGACAGCCCCACTCTCTGTTCCTGAGATGGACCAGCCATTCCTGCATGTGTCCTTGTGCTCATAAAGTGTCATAACTATATGCTGCGGAGCACCTGTAGATATTTCTGACAATGGCATTAAGAGGATATTTTGTAAGAGATTACAAATGCCTTCTCTGGAGGGATCTCAAAAGCTTAGCAAGGGATTCCTGCAAGCACCTGTCTTTTCCTCTGATCATCATTATGGACCTATTATAAATTTTCATGGCAACAAAGAGTTACAATCAAATATATAAATTGGGAAACATGTAAACTAGATGGTTGTTGAACTTTTAGGACAAATCATGAAAGTTCGGAACTTCTGCAACAGGGATGCTTCTCATCTGGGACCATTTCCAATAGCAGCTAGAATGCTATGGGTTGGGCACTACATTTTGCCCTGACAGAAACAAAAGGCAAAGCATGGAGAACTAGCACCAACAGGTGGGAGGTACAGGGCGGCAAACTGCAGCTCAAGGTAGTCAGGCTGTAACAGTGACAACCATCCTACCGTGGGAGGGGCTGCCTTCTCCTCAATTACTAAGCCAGGCTAGCCAAGGGCAAGAAAGGCACAATGTACCGGGGCCAGGATGAGGGGCTGGGCTAGCTTAGACCAGGCCCAAGGCTCCCTTCCTGAGGGTCTGTGTTACTGCGTGAGATCAGTAGGCCCGGATTGGGGGAGGGAGAAAGTGGGGTAAAGGTGAGAAGCGAGAGAGGAAGACTTCAGATCTTTACAAAGTAGGGCATATTTTCACAAGCTGCAAAAGTCTGCAGGGCGGCGGAAAGGGTGGAGGGTGACAGGAGAGAGTGTGAGAAGGCTGCACAGAGCTAGGCTGGGAAACAAAGTGAGTGACTTACCGTGAAAGGCAAGGAGCAGATGGCGAAGGTGATGGTCATAATGGCCAGGAGAATGAGGTGGTCCGTCTCCTCTGCCATGGACACCCTTTCCCCTCTCCTGCGGGCCCCGGAACCGCCCCAGCTGCTGCCCAAGGAGGGTCCACAGCGGCTTCTCCTGCCTCGGCGGTGCATGCGGATGAGGTTGAGGATGACGCTGAAGTTGCAGGCGAGCACCGCGACGATGAGGAGCAGCAGCAGGGCGGCATAAAGCTGCAGGTAAGAGGTCCGCCCGTGCCGGATGAAGCACCACGTCCCGGGGCAGTACTGGACGTATTGCCCGTAGTCCAGTAGCGGCAGGGAGCAAAAGAGCAGGGAGACGGCATAGATTGCGGGCAGCACGGCCAGGCCCCCGCGGCGCGTGACGCGGCGCTGGTAGAAGTAGGGGTGCCCGATGGATAGGTAGCGCTCCAGGGCCATGGCGAAGAGCATGAGCATCGTGGCCAGGCTGAAAAAGGTCATGGCGAAAGCGAAGTAGGTGCACGCGCGGCTTTCAGGCGCCAGTGCCACCAGGGTCTGGTTCCGCGCGTACGAAGCCAGCACCACGGGGCTGATGAGGCAGGTCCCGAGCAGGTCGGTGAACACCAGCTCGGTCACCAGCACGTGGAACAAGGAGAGGGAGTTCCTGCGGCCGCCGCTGCGCCCCGCGTCCCCCCGCCAGCGGCGCGCCAGCAGCGCCAGCGCGATGAGGTTCCCCAGCACCCCGGCCGAGAACATCACGGAACTGATGGCTGGGCTTTCGCCCGAGGGGAGCCACTGTCGAGTCTCGCAGTCCTCGGGCAGGGAGTCATTGGAGGCATTGCCCATGGTGGGGTGCCTGGAGGAGAGATGCGCTCTCCTTTCCCCGCGGATACCTGGGAGGAGGAGGGTCTGAGAGCGGGAGTGCTCTGAGACTCCGAAGGAAAAGGGGAGGGACCGAAATGAGGAACCCCCTTCCGGCCCCCAGCGCGCGCCGAGGGCAAGCTCGCCCCGGGTCTCCTGCCGCGCGCCAAGTGGCGGCTCGGCTGCTGCATCCGGGCGGCTCTCGAGGCTCCCGCGCCCACCCGCGCGGGCCAGGGCTGGAGGCAGCGCAAAAGGGAGCCGCCGCCGCCTCCGCCCCCCGCGCCGTCCGGGGGCGGACCCAGGGGTGGTGTCCTGGTCCCGCAAGCGCGAGCGCCCGCGAGATGCCCGTGAAGCCGGAGGCGTCACACTCGCGGGGACGCTGTAAGTCCCTGGGGCGCGCCGGCGGGGAGAGGGCGAGAAAGGGGTCCGAGTACCGGCCGGGCACGGCGCTGGTGCGCGGAGCTGCCCTTGGCCAGCGGGAGCCGCGTTCCTCCCTCCTCCGGCGTCGGGTGCTCGAAGCAGCGCGGCCATCTGACCTGGGCTAGGAAGCGTTAAGCCCCAACAGAGGGCTGGGAGGGAGTGCGGGGGCACTTGAAGGGTCTACGCAGAATGCTCAGAAGGCCGGGCCAACAAGCAGAGCGACGCGTCTCACGAAACAATAGAGAAGTTAGGACAACCCAGTCCCGTGAAATGTGCAGAACAAGGGAACAACAGACACCAACCGCAGCTTGAAGTAAGACCAATATGTTTTGCTTTGTTTTACTATTTCCAGGAAGATACACTAAGAGGGAGGGACAGAGATTGGGAGGAAGTGAAAAGCACCCTGCCCATCCAAGGAACCAAACCACGCAGCCTACGCCACTGAGCTGCCTGTTGCACTGCTGCCTTGATTCGGTTGCTAGCATTTCGCCTTTTCCTATGTCAACAGCATAACGGATAACCACTGGTTTAAGCAACCATTTAAAAAAAAAAAAAGGAATGTTCCTTGTAATTGTGTAGAATTGTGTTTGTGGACACAGCTTGAAAACTCCTGCACATTATTGTTCTCTACTCAAGCTCAGCCTTGAAAGAAAACGTTGATGTGTTGTCTAGCAGTTAATCTTTCCACGGTCAGTTAACCAGCGAGGGCTTGTCAGGAAAGACCCGTTCCTGGTAAAGTGCTAAGTGGCCAGCCTCAGACTGGAACTGACAATAATGGTTGCATACCACATGTTGTCATAATTGCAGAGTCGTGAAAATGCGCTGATATTTAAAACAACAACAACAAAATATCTAGTTTGACAGACAACGTGGGTAACTGTTCTACAAGAAAGGTCATATTTACTTGGGGAAGGGATGTGGCCTGGGAAGTGGAAAGATGCATAGGAAACTGGCAAGAAAGAAAGTTGTCTTGGTGAAGGAAAGACTGCCTGCTGAAGAGCACTGTCTGCTACACCCTGCTTCCTGTTCGGTAATATTTTAGCTCACCTTGATTCTGGTCTGGGGGTTGGAATGTGGAGGGGGTTCCCAATAGGACAAGCATAATTTACTGGGTTACTTGCAAAGCCTGCAGGCCCATTTTCACATATCAGCAGCCACTACCTTAATCCCTAAACTTTGTGTGGCATGGAGGGAATCTAAACTAACTCCTAGAGTTTTTCTTTCAGACTGTAAACTTCAGGTTGGTAACACCTTATCACCAACCTTGGTCACCCATCTATGACTACTCCCCCACCCACCCTTTCCCCATCTCACCCCAAGCAACGAGGGAACCTTATATAAATCAAGTGTTTCTTGGTAGGAAAACACTATGGGTCTGGGGTACAGCTTAATTCTGCACTGCAGTTTTACTATTAACTAAGGGATTTTTGATTCACTGAATTCTCAGTGCTTGATTTCCAAATGTTCTGGAATATCTTTGCTATTTTCATAAGGCCCCTCACAACAAAAACCTACTAACGAATTTTTCCTATATATTTGTCTGTAGCTTTCCTTGGGATGGGTACCTGGTGGCAGGCTTGCCCCTGCTTTTTGTAAGTACCAGAGCAAGAGTGCAATTGGAGCTCCTCCCGTCAGACCTCTCCCCCTTTCTCTTTCTAACCTCCACCCCAGACTCCACAAGGAGACTTGCACAGAAGTATGTGGATGACATAGTCCTTGATGACCAAACTCTCCCCAAAAAGTGACCCCTTGACCCCTATGTACTCCAAGCATGCAGTTGACCCTGTGGTGGCTGGACCTGGGGAAGACGCCTGTGTCAAGCCCTGGAAGTGAGCTCTGAGCCAACATTTGAGCAGGGAATTCCATAATCTCAGGTACCTGGAAGGTGGTATAGAATGGAAGGGCATGAGGTCTGGATGGGTAGTGCCTCCTGGCTCTTAAGATGCCTCATCTGTAGTGAGGTATATGATAAGAGGAAGACCAGAGTGGGGGGCCTGGGCCTAAAAATCTTGGGGGCCAGTATCTTGTCAATTAGTGTGTGCATCAGCTTTACTTGTTACCAAACATTCAAATTACTCCTTTTGTTTTCAGCATTTGGATAGAGGAGTGTGTGTGTGTATAGTTTAACAGTTCTGTGTTCCATATTGCCATGTCTCTGACTGGAAGGGTTGATTAGTTTGCCATCCCTAGTTCCTCAGATGGACCATCAGATTTGTTCCTGTAAGTCCAAGTCTTGTCTTATCTTGTTTGTCAGTTCCCCCAATTTTGTAGTTTAAAGCTGCTTCTTCCCATTTCTAATTTTAGTGTCAGCATCTTAGTACATTTTCAGTTTGCATACAGCCTAGAATTTCTTAACAGAAAAGAGACTAACGCCCTCAATTCTAGAATTGAGTCATAGAGCTTTGCTAATGTTTTAGTTCCTGTTTGCTGGGTCATTGTATTTGGGGAAGGCCATGTGATGGGTAATTTTATATGTCAGCTTGACAGGGCCATGGGATGCCCAGAGAGCTGGTTCAGCATTATCTCTGGGCGTGTCTGTTACGGTGTTTCTGGAAGGAATTTGAGTTGGTGGCCTGAGTAAAGTAGATGGCCTTCCTCAGTGTTGGTGGGCCTCATCCAATCCATTAGGGGCCTGCATAGAACTAAGAAGGCAGAGGAAGGTTGAATTTGCTTCCTGTCTCACTGCTTGAGCTGGGACATGATCTTCTCCTGCCCTTGGCATTCCTGGTTTTCAGGCCTTCAGACCGGACTGGAATCTGCATCACGGCTCTTTAGCTCTCAGGCCTTCGAACTGCATCACCCACCAGCTTTACTGGGTCTGCCCTCTCAAGTCAATACTTTATAATAAGTATCTTTATATACATCCATTGTTTCTCTGGAGAACCCTGATTAATATATACTTCGTAACATCTGAAGTTCACAATTTTCATTTATGTATCCACAAACTCAAAGAAGGACTGGGGAAGGCAGGTCACGTTACTTACTGTAGGTCATTCTTCAAGAGAAAGCAAAGAGAAATGTGAAGGAAAAGGGAACTTCTGGGGGAGAAAGCTAACATTAATACTTGTCATGGTTCTATTTATGTCATTTGCCTCTTTCAAAAGGCTAATTTAAATGTATATTTTATGATTCCTATGCAATGTAATTACGTTCTTTTTTTTTCCAAATTGTGTTCTAAGAACAACATCTGTGTCCTGTGGTATTCCAGACAAGGTTTATATCACTTTGTTACAAGAAACAGAGCCACTTAAAAGAGAGAGAGAATTTATTGTAAGGACACAGTGATAGTCCACTGCACATAAGGGGTCTATATTTTCTCACATAAGAAGTTTGGAGGTTGCAGGCTGGGGGGGCCACCAGGACTCAGGCTCTTTCTGTCCTTTGGCCCTGTCACTCCTTGTTGACTTTGTGTCTCCATGCTCTTCCCCAAGCAGTTACCAGCTGCTGCCTGCATCAGTCAGGAGTAAGCTAGAGAAAAGCCACGATGGGTGATAAAGAATGTGGAATTTATTATTAGGCACCAGGTCTGCATCATCTGGTATGGTAGCCACTAGCCATATCTGGCTATTTACATTTAAATTTAAAATAATTAACATTACATAAGAATAAAAATTTAGTTTCTCTATTGACTAGATATATTTCAAATGCTCAATAGCCACATGTGACTAGTGGCTGTCACATTGTGCAGCTCAGATATAAAACACTTCCACCATCACAGAAGTTCTACCAGACAGTGCTGCCTTAGACTCTATATAATAAGGGAGCTGGTGGAGGAGTCCATGCAAGGCTATTTGTTTTCTTTGGTTCTATGTTGAGCTTGAAGTCACTGTAGGTCAGCCAGAATGGCAGACAGGGTAGAAAGCTGGATGTGGATGAGAGAAAGAACAGACTGGAACTTGTCAGGACAAACTAGAATTCATGAACGGCCAAAGTTCTTGAGGACAAACTGGATCTGCATGTGTCTCTCTCTACCTCTAACTTCAAGGTGTCCTGCAGAAGAAGCTGGCACCTTTTACAAAGCTACAGATGCACTTGGCTTAGAACTTGAAGAAACTGAAGGAGGAGATGTGGTGGGAGCTGGTGGAGCATGCAAGTCTGGGTGCTGCCCCATGCCAGCAAGGTGAGCCTGCAGGTCAGTGACAAGGTGTCAGAGCTGCCAACATGCCTGGAGCCTCGCATTGTCCTTCAGAGCATAAAAACCGTGGCTGCTGCTTTGCTGCTGCCTCCTAGATCTCATGCAACATTTCTCTTGTGGCCAACCCTGACCTGGAACTATGTGAAGATTCTGGACAACAGATCCTGCTTAGCTGGGTCAATGCAATACAAAGCCACCATGGGCCAGGCCTTAATTCCGCACCGAAGCCAGGGTTGAGGGAGAGAGAGTACCAGTGAGCTCACTCTCTCTCGTGCCTGTTTCTTTCATCAAGAAAGCAAAAGGCTTTCCAGAAGCACTCTAATGGACTTCTCTTCATGTCTCATTAGCCAGAATTTGGTAACATTGCCAGCCCTTAACTCCAAAGGAGGCTGCCAAAGCGGGTATTGAGGTTTCCCAGCCTCTTTTAGAGTAGAGGCAGGCAAGCGAGAAGGGGCTGGGAATGGCTGTTGAGTTAGTCAACCAACAGTGTCTGCTA